TTAACCTCTTTTCAAAGTTTCCCCTGAAGGCCAGCAGTTTGGTCAAATAGATAAATGGACTTTTATTGCTGTGGTTCTGTATGAATGAATCTGTTACCAGATAAATTTTATTAAGGAAACGAGTTGAACTTTGCAAAGAAATTATTATGAAAAGTGAGACTCGATGTGATTCATTTCCAGGACACAGTTCACTACGAACAGATGTGAAATTAGGATGAAACAGGTCCTTTAAAGGAAAATGTTCATTGCTGGAGGGGTTAGAGGTAAGAAAGCTAATCGTAAGTTGATGGACCGCCTTCAGAGGAAAGGTTTTTCTTGACTCATAAGGAAATAAAGATAGTACAGGAAAAATTATCCCTAAAAATTTGCTTGTGTAAAATTTAAGCATTGGAAACCAATTTCAATGGCTTTCAAAAATGTTATAAAAAATTATAGATTTGGTAGTTTAAAATCATTATACGCACAAATATATGTCTATGTGTCAAAAATCTGTCATAGTGTACGTTAAGCTTCCAGCATTAAAACATTCATTATGGAGCTTGTATCAATTTCACCTTCGTCTTTCTCACTGGTAGAGGATATGTTTGGGTCACAGCCCCTTTACTTGATACAAGCCTTTCCCCCTCTTCTGCCTAGAAAAGTTCTCTGATTTTAAAGATTCCAGTTGGTATTGGGTCCACTAAGATAATCCACAGTCAGTCATATTATGTAACCAGTTCAGCCAAAACCAGTTGTGTCATTGGTGGTGTGACATAGTTACTGGAGATTCACAGGTTCCAAGAATTACAGCACAGAAACATTTAGAGAATGATTATTTTAACGTCTCCCACAAAACTGTAGTGAAACACAAATCTTGTGAATTAAAAAGTTATGAGATTTGACATTGTGCACCATGATAAAGATATGTGATGGGCAGAATCATGACTAACAAACTTACAGCAACTATGTGGTAACCACTGTACTGAAAGCTTTATATATGTTGACATTTATAACAGTTCTACGACATGCATTGCGTTGTTATTCTTTACATCGTATAGTTAAGGAAACTAAGGCACTTTTGCCCAGAATTGGTTGGTAAATGATAGAGTTTGGTATAGGAACCCAACCTGATTTCAGAGTTCATAAGCTTAATAATAATGATCACGATCAACAAAAAGCATCAAGCTAAAATATATCCTGTTAACACAATCCTATTTTGCTAAAAAGAATAATTTGTATAAAAATCATCTATGGGTAGAAAGGCTGAGTGATTACTTTCACTTTGTTTACTATAAACATTTTTACACACTATTTTATTTAATAGCTATTATTATTCAGAGAAGTGAGACATCCAAGTTTGTTTAAGATACCCAGTGAATTAAATGTTATTTTAGTCACTGTGAGGATAATTGTTGCTGATCTGTTTTTAAAATACAATAGAGACTGTGCAAACTGGGAGTAAAACTGTTGTGGAGAATGCACAACCAGGCATGAATTTTTTTTTTTTTTTTTTGCTGTAGCTGAGTGTGCAGCCAGCTCTGGCTGGTTTAAAGGCTGTGTACTTAGGACAGACCATGAGTTGTCTTGAAAGATAAATGAAGTGGGTGTGAATCAACCTTGAGAGGTACTTTAAAGCGGGATGCCAAGGTGAGCCCAGATGGAGGGATGCACTGTGGAGCACATTTCCCCACAGAAACAAGGTAATTAACAATAGTTATGTCACTGGACTAGTCAAGGGGAGCCCTCAGCACCTCACAGCTAAATAGTTTATGACCTTCCTTCTAAATGACAAAGCAATCGACATTCCAGTTCGAGACATCTCTCCCCTCTACGCCCCTCTATGGAACAGTCACAATCCTCGGCCGTGATTGATGTTTCTTCCACCACAGCATTTAGTTCCAGGGACAAGAAGAAATGGAACAAGGAGGGCACAGCCACCTTAAGGAATGGAATTGCATCCCTAACTAGGGCACCTTTCCGGAAGTCAGACACGAGCTACGCTGTATCTACAGGACATGATGGAAATTTACTTGACAAGGAACTTAATATGTAAAAACCCTTTTAAATATGTTTATTGTCATGACTGGATGAAATTGGAAGGACTGAGAAATACATTAAAATATCAACGAGGGCCTGTAGCACAATGGTTTCGGAACACTGATTTTTATTTACAGAAAGATGAGCATTCAGACTTGACAGCTCTGGCACTGAGAACACGGGAACCTCTCATAGAGAGACTTGACCTGTCTTCCATTTTAGTTTCTTTCACTTGGGAATTGGCATCGTACCAATTTCGAGGTTTCCTGTAATTAATGCGACACTGACACTGTGATGTAGATTAAGCAGGTAGAGACTAGTTGCACACGATACAGACTCAACATTGGTTGCATTGTTGTTTATTCTCCTTCAAATAGTGTACCAATTAAAGGTTAATAAAAGATCAAGAATAAAAGCCCTTGAAGATTTTTTTTAATGTTGGGTTTCCTTAGAGACAGACACCCAATACAAAGATTTCAGTCCAGTGCTTTATTTGAAAGTTGTCCCAGGAATCTTGAGGAGTGAAGCAGAAAGATGATAGAAGGAGATGGTTACCACTGCAGAGAATTGAGACTCGATGCTGGCGGGGACGCCAATGATGTGAACGAGTCTGTTTTGGGGATATTCTGTGTGTGTGCTGAGAAAACTGAGGTCATCATCCACACCTTTCCTCTATTGCTTGGTAAAAATGGATCTCGAGGAGATAATTTCATTTCTTAGCCAAGCACCTCCTATAGTTAGTTAACAGTCCATTTTGCTTACAAAAAGATGAATGCCATACATTGAGAAGTCATAGTTCAGTGATTATGAATGAGGAAGGGAAAGACAGCATTATACTTTCCTGTATAGGCTAAGAATTTCTCAAGCTCATTCTTCCTGCAGGGAGACTATTACAAGGTTATGGCTGGATCCATACAAATGCCTGTACGCCGGTAAATTTAAAGAGCTGGTAGAGCACTTGGCCACACGGAAGCAGCTTCTTCAACAGACAGGACTAGCGTAGTTTTTACCTTTATTTACTTCATCCATGCAAAATATCTACATTAAAGCAGATATCAGGCAGCACGTGTGGGTAAAGCAGAGTGACAAAAATTAAAAAAAAAATGAAATGCGACTAGATATCCCTGGTTTCAGTTTTATGCAAAAATTGTGAAGGCCCCAAAAGGCGAGGAACAGCACACGCTGAGGTACTGGAATGTCATTAACCATTGGAAGCACTTCTGAGAACATTAGGAAAGCTTGTTTCTAAATGTGGCAATTCAAACAGACACTCATTACAATATAAAGTATGAACATTCATAATTTTATAAGATCAAATCCCCTTGACTTTCTAAGATGGCAAATCACTTTTGAGTATCTAGTCTGACTTTTCGAGAATTCAGCCCCATGACCCATCCAATCTCTATTTAGTTACTCTGAAATGTAATGTTTGTTCAAAGAAGTCATCATTAGATGTTCAAGTTAAAGTTGCCCAATATAAATGTCATTTTCTAAGTAGGGTAAGTCCCACTTGCTACAGGAAGCTTGCTGCTTAGCTTTTATCCTTTTTTTTTTTTTTTCAGTTTCAAACCTCTAAAGTCCGTGGACAGTTCTTATTACAGCAATTTACTTCAATGGCTTTATTGGAGTAAATGGATCTCAACACTATACCCTCATTCGGTAGCAAGATTAGGGATGCTTTCCATAGCTGATGGGGCTGCAAACGCAGCTCCCTTTTCTGAACCCCAGCTAGCATCACTTGCACGCTTCCTCCTTCAACTTTCCGCCCGCAGGTGGCAGCAGCGGGCTCCAGAGCGCGTGGCTGCAGGTAAATGCGGCCATCAGTTCTGTAGTGTCACCAACCAGGAGTGGCCCATAACCAGCAGGATGGCCCTTGAGGTCGGGTAGAAAAGTGCTCAAATTTCGTCTCATTCTTCCATCGTTGAGAAGAAAGCAGTCTGAAGCAGCCACAGCAAAGTCATGAATTTCCTCTGGTTCCCTAAATTTCCCAACTTCAAGCAGCGACTCAGTTTTTTTCCCTGTAGCGGGGGTCAGCGTGAAAACTCTTGGAAGCTCCCACCTTTCCTGTCCTTGGCACCCGGGTGCTGAGCCCGCATGGAAGGGTTGGTGGCCACTTTGCCTTCATAATTACTTAGGCTTTCTGCTCCATTCGGGTTTTCCAGAGGGGCAGAATGCCTGAGCTGCACTCCAATTTTATCCCACCACCCCTTTCCATAACCCTATTCCCCTAAGCACACTCACACATAGACACACACACACACACACACACACACACACACACACACACACGCAGCTTGTTCACGTGTAGTGCTTCTGGCTGGGCTGCCTGAGCAAGACCGACACCAACCCAGCAAGTCACGGCCATGCCGCCCGGACTTCTCGGGCCGGATGAGGCTTCCCTGTACCCCCTTCACCACCACTGCTGCGGCCGCCGCAGCTCCTGCGCGCCGCGACACCACGCCCGTAGCGGGCAAGGCTGCAGCCCGGGCTCCGACCTCCAAGAAGTTGTCGCCCGCGAGGGGACAGCGGGCATCGCAGGAGGACCCCACATCTGGCCGTGGGGAGGGGCGCCGCAGGACTCTCTGTGCGCGGAGCCCGCACCCGCCCCGCGCGCCCCGCAGCCCGGGGCAGCGCACAGCCCCGCCGCCCCTGCTCCCGCCCCGCCCTCCGGGCCCGCCAGCGCGCGGAGCGACCGAGCAGCCGCCGCCGAGCGCGCAGGGAGGCAAGGCAGCGCCCGGCGCGCGTTTCTGCCGCCCCCGGAGCCCGCGCGCGCGCGGGGAGTGCGGGGCGAGCGCGCGTCGGGCGGCGGCCGCAACTTGGCGGGCCAGATGCCCCAGGGCGCGGCGGCGCTGCCTGCCTGCCGCTGCCGCCCCTGCGGGCCCGGGGCGCGTCTCCTCCTTGGGCGGCGCTGCCCGCGGCGCGGCGTGTGCACCGAGCGAGTGAAGGTATGTGTGGCGGGCGCGGCTGGAGCAGGCGCCGGCGCGCAGGCAGTTCCTAATGCCTGTCACTTCCCAGGACATTGGCAGCGGCAGCCCGGAGCCCCCGAGCCCTGGGCAGGTTTGCCTGTCCTTCCCGGCGATCTGATTGGATAAAGTGGGAGCTCGACGGTGGCCGACGTGGGACAGTCTGGCTGTGGCAGGGGTCTCGGAAACCATGGGTTATTGCAGTGGCAGGTGCACGCTTATCTTTATCTGTGGCATGCAACTGGTAAGTGACGCTTGGGTCCTCTTATTCTGTAATGTGCCTTTGAGAGAGTGGCCAGGGAGTGTAGTAAGAGGTCTCTGCCATTGAGCAGGACGGAAGGGAAAAGAAAAGAGAAAAAAAGGTGACATATATCACCTGTGTTTAAAATGATTTTAGGGGTGTGAGAAGTGACCCTTTGTGCCCTCCCCCATTTCTGCCCCTCTAAAGATAGTTTTGCAGGTGCGGCGTAAACTTGTTATCTTTAATTTCTTTAAGGGAATTGAGATGTAGCTTTTCCTTTATGCTTGGCATTCCTGTTAGTGTAAGAGGGTGATTGCCATGTATATACATTACTATATATGTGTTAAATGAACATACAGATCCTCAGACTTTTCTTTTATATACTTGTTTGGCAGTGTCTTTATTCATTGTCATTTGATATTTTCTGGGAATATTTTATTATAATGCTCTTAAAAAAAACTCCTTGTTTAGGTCGGATGGTATTCTTACAGCATTCTGAGCTAGGAAGCCACACCGAGTTCTCAAAGTATGTAGTTTGAAGAGAAATACTTAGATAAAGTCTGCAATACCATAGCTACAGAGTCGACCAGTAACCTCTAAATCATAATTGCTACAACAATCCCAAGAAAAAAAAATAATAGCTTGTCTTCCATTGTGTACGGTATTGCCACTGACATAGATACTATTGTCTGATCTCCCAGGATGGAGAATTGTATGTACTTTTTGAGGAATGTCCTGTACTTGCTAAAAGGCAAGAAGCCAATAATGCCTCTGAATTCCAATCCCTAAAGGCAATGGAAGGAGGGGCTGAGGGGAATGTAGAGGTGAAAAATTACGACACTGGCAAATGGCTAATTTGAGGTAGGAGGTACTTGCTTCATTGGCACCAAGTAGCTGTCCATAGAAAGTACGAATTAATCTAGTTACCCTCCATTATTTCTTTTTAAAGACTAGAGAATTGCAGGACAGAGGGTGATTACTGAAAGCCTGGTCATTACAAAGTGCTTAAATGAATAGCAATTTTCTATGGAAACCGACAGAAGAATTTCTCAAGTTTTCTTCACTGTTCATCAGTTGCAAAGACCAGCAGCAAGGTTTTTATTTATTTATTTTTTATTTGTTTAGCTAGAGTTCTTGAGACATTTCAGCTCTGGATTTTTTTCCCCTTTTAAGGAAAGTTCCCTGACGATGTATTCTTGAATCTTGAATTGTGTACTTAGTACTTGGCTGTAAGGAAAAAGAAGATAGAACAATAGATACAGTTTATGTTTTCTTGATGCTCTCTAAACCAGCTTCTGTTTCTCTTCCATAGATTCGTATAAGTTTTTCAGCACAGTACTTTTGCCGTTAATGATAGGGTTAACCAGAGTTTACTTTGGAAAACTAGACAGCTCAATTGTTCCAAGTTGTATTACATTTTCCAAACATTTTTATTTTTGTATATGATTTATATTATTTTACATTTGCATATTCACAGTGTAAAAGCATAAAACTGAGAATAAGTTGGTGGGTAACACATGCTTATGTTCTTTCCAGTTTAAAAAATGTAAATTAATTCTTACTTTAAGAGGGGTTTTATTAATGCAGTAGGGCAGTTGTATGTATTAGATCAAATGACATTTTGTGTGACTAATTATATATTCTTAAAATGATTGGAAAATATAAATATGCCAGCGAGGAAGGTAAGTTTACACACATGATACAGCTGTGGTTTTCTTTGTGTTTGTCCATGTGAGTATGCGCGCGCGCGCGTGTGTGTGTGTGTGTGTGTGTGTGTGTGTGTGTGTGTATGTGTGCGCACGCGCATATGCATCCATGCAACCGTGTATTGTAGAAGAGCTATGATACGTAATGGAAAAGAAACCCTAATCATGGCTAAGCTCTCCAACTAAATAGAGTTGTCTGCAAGACAGGAACACTCAGCCTAAGCCAGGGCACGTTTGAGTCCTGAGAAGTTTTTGTGCTCTGTGAGAATCGTGGTGTCCTTTCATTTCCACCTTTTATGTCACCAGGCCAGTATCATTAGCAGCCATGTTAATGCGGAGGCAGAACAAAAAGCAAAGGACAAAGAAAATTAATTGTTTAGATAGGGTAAAATCATCACACCCTTTAGGACTTAAGAGATTCTTGTTACTTGTGTCTTAGACATACTTATGATCTTTTACATAAAATACGTCTTGGCAAATAGCTATAGAACACCTATGAGAGGAAGTTGATGTTTTCCTCTATGTTTATAGATGTAAAATCCTTATGCATCTTTGAGATACTTTCGGGGAAATTTGTTTTACATGAAAACCAGATTCCCAGCATAAGTTTTGACTCGTGTATCAGTGACTGACACGAAGCTTCTCTAAGTTCTGTGGACTTTGGAAGTGTTTGTCTTGTATTAGGACACTTGGACACCTTTTACTTTCCTAATTGTACTTTAGATTTGTTAAAACTGCTGGAAGCCCAGGATAGCAGAGTTTAAAATCATCTTTCTGCATTAAGTAACTTTATTAAGTCTTTACAAGCATTAATCTTTACCCTGATAAGGAAAATACGGTGTTTTAGTTGAAAGTTTACATCAGTTTACAGGTATCTTAGGAAAAGATGTAGTATCTTTAAATCCGGTAGAAATAGACTCCTCCCTTGCTGGGTTATTTTCAAAGCAGATGTGGTATTTTGAACATTGTACATATAAAGAACAGGGTGGAAAGCTGGCATTTTCTGGCCAGGAGTCTATATCCTTGCTGGAAATTATGTAAAATGATTTTTATCTTAAAGTTTGACAGCATGTAAACATAAATAAACATATATTATTGGACTATCTGGAAATAAGATATCAGATCTTAAGATAAATTACAATTCGGTACTCTTATAATTCAGTATAAAACTTTCATTCTATGAGAAAGTGTCTGCTTGTATCAAAAGTTAAAATCTCTGAGCTGTGTGGTTAACTGGCTTCAGATATTAGGGTGATTCTTGCAAGAAGGAGTGTGATTTCTGGAAAGAGATTTCTCCATGGGCGGAAGATAGAATTTAAGCTCATAATCGCTAGAATGTGACTTCCTTGTTATCATTGTTGCCATCACTGCTCAGAAACGGAAGATTTCAGATAGTAACAGAAGTCATCACTGTATTTCCAGCGATGGGTTTAGTAGTGCGGGCCAAGAACAATTTAACTTCTTGTTTACAACTTTCAGTCAGCTTGGGAAAGAATCTACCTTTCCCCCACCCTGTTTTTCTTTGAGTCAAAGACTACTTCATACAAACGTTGAAAAAAAAAAGTATTCCAATATGTCTTATTGACAAAAATAACCCAGTTATATCACGGAAGAACATAACTTTAGAGTGAAAACACAACTTTGTTTGCAAGTAAGGGAGCTCCAGATTGCACACGTGTTCTACATCAGAGTCCTGTGTGGCGTGAAGTGTGGCTCTCATAAACTACTGAAAAAAGTCTAGATTGGCGTTCATGAGATTACCACCTGAAAGTGACGTTCCTGCCATGTGATCTATGAAATAGGACTAACTTTGGAGCAGGTGCCACTAGCAATCAGGTTAGCAGCTGTGTGTGCGGCTGTGTGAAGCAACACATTTGAAAGGGAAGAGTGATAGTTGCTTCTTACTGCACAGTTACAATGCATTTTAAGAGGTGGACATGTATTTCAAAAAAAAAAAAAACCCACAGATGTATACAGAAAAACAATCTTCTTTTAATTACAGAGTGCTAGATCTATTGTGATTTGTATGCGGTGTTCACCATTATTCGGCGAGTATTTGATTACTTTGGAAAAGCATCAAAGCATGGATGTGAGGCGACTTGGGACGTGTGGGTGGAGTGCGATGGTGTTCTTGGGGTACTGCCTTTGACATGTTGTTCACAGATCTAACTCACGAAGGAGAGTGAAAATTCCCATATGGCACTTTAGAAAGTTGTGAAATTGAAGCATTCTAAGGGGTTTCTAAATTGTAAAAATAGCTTCTCTTGTTTGTAATGTTCTCTACACATGCACAAAAACAGTTTTGGTATATCTTTTATCTTAAAATGCTCTCCTCTTGTAATTAAACATAATTATTCTTTATCAAATGTATATCAAGAAAAGGATAGGATGTTCTCATGACATCTAGCCCTGTGCCTTAAAAAAAAAAAAAAAAAAGAAAAAAACGGTGTCAAACTGTTGTGATGTTATATACCTCATTTCAGTAAGTCAAATTGTAGAGTTCTTCCCTTCTTCCTCGTACAAAGACTTGGCTAGGTGGTACCCTCTGTGCCAAAGGTCAGCATGTTCTCTGCTGGGGAGCCTGTATGTAGTTGGTGTCTTAGAAATATAAATGGCCATTGCCTTCTCCTTCCCCTAATTATTTACTCACCTAATCAAGAATTTCAGAATAGAAGTCAGGGATGCCTCGAAATAGCAAGTTCGCTTTTGGGGGGGCACTGATTCATTGTTGGATATTACATGTCTTGGAAAACTACAATTTCAGAGATGGAACCAAGTGTTCACACCATTGGTTTATAACACAAATAAAACTATAATTTTAGCATCAGTTACATTAAATATTTTTATTTCTTACTAGTGCCTATGAATTTAAGAGAATATATTTTACTTACACTGGTGGATTTTCAATTTGTACAGTGTCATCTGTCCATAGGTAAATTTTAGTTTTTTATTTTAATTAATTAATTATTTTTTTATTATCTGGACAAGTTTTTTCTGTGTAACAGCCCTAACTGTCCTGGAACTAGCTCTGTAGACCAGACTGACCATAGATTCACAGAAATCCACCCATTTCTGCCTCCCAAGTGCTGGCTGGGATTAAAGGCACATAGCACCACAGCCTGGCATGTTAATTTTAAAATTATCACTATACCTGGGGCTGGAGAGATGACTCAGAGGTTAAGAGCATTGCCTGCTCTTCCAAAGGTCCTGAGTTCAATTTGCAGCAACCACATGGTGGCTCACAACCATCTGTAATGAGGTCTGGTGCCTTCTTCTGGCCTGCAGGCATACACACAG